CTTGGACGGTCTACCGTGCGGTGTGACTTGTGGCTTTGAACGGCCAACAGTGTTGAAATAGTTAAACTGGTCACCACTGCGCTTTGCGTTGACAAGCTATGATGGTATTAGAGAAGGATCCCAGCAAGAAATATCAGAGTGACTTCCCTTTCCTTTACGCTCGACGAGAAAATGTAATTTTTGTTTGTTTGAACTTTTTGTCGAAAATATCGACGGTAATAACAAAAAGGGTAATTTTCATTTTTATTTTTTTTTAACATTTGGACTTTGAAAGAGCGGCGCATCCGTAAACCAAGAAATAAAAAAATTGTCGCCTTACTGTCCCATACAGGACAGTGAGCAATAAAGTCAACAAAGATTATCCCATTATTTCTTTTTATTTGAGCTTGTCTCGTTAGCTCTACCGTGTTTGTTTCATGGGTAATCCTGTGGTATGCGTAATTCATTGTTATTTGCTAGCTTTAAGAAGATTACTTGGGTTTCAAGGTTTCCTACATTTATTTCGTTATTTTTGGAGGTACAGCTGTCACGGACCAGGGTGATTAGTCCTCCTCCCTTGTTGCCAGGCTTTTCAATATTGGGTATACCCAGGCAGTGTGCATTTGGGTTTTTCGTTGAGTTTAGTCTCCTGAATGACATGCGACTTTATCACCTGTTTTTCGACGATTGCATTGAGTTCATTGCCGTGGCTCTTAAGGAGATTTGCGTTCCACTGTAATAATAGCAAGTCTATGATTGTTTAGATGAGCGCTTATTGAGTTTTAGGGCATACCCTATTTTGTAACTGTTTCTTTGTTCCTTTGTATTTCGGTCTTTAGGAAGCCAGTTTGATGAAGCTGGTTGCTATGGCATTTTCCTGCTTGTAATTTAGATCATTGCCGTCACAATGAATTCTTCAACTTTTTTTGTGTTCTGAGCCTTTTGTTTTCTATGAGCTGGTGTTTCCTTTATCTGCTTGATTTGTTGGTAGTGTGCCTCAGTTTGAGTAGTAGAAGGCATGGGTTTTGATTTGGGGGTTTGGGTCTTCTTCCCCATTAGTAGTTGCTTTGGGTTTTTTCAACTTCAGTGAGTTGAAAAGATTTGAATTCACATTGCTGAGTTTTTGTTTATGCTGATGAGAAAGCGTTTTGGACATTACGACGCCAAGGATGAATGACCCTGTTTTTTGCAGTTTGTATATTAAGTGCTGCATTTTGCTTGCAAGAAACTCGGGAGTAGTGTTTGCACTTGGATGGCTGGTTACATGATGTTTTTGTATGTCCACAGAGATTACAGTTTGTGCATTGTATTGGCATAGTTTCTATATCCTTACTACCTAGATAAAGGCTGCCGTGGACTGACTGGACTGGTAATTTGAGTATTACTACTCGTGTGTTGGTTGGGCCAATTGATGCTCAACGCCGAATGGATTGTTGTTCAGTGATTTTCTTTTACGCTTGACGGACAAGTTGATCTTTGGCAATATATTGAGCTGTTAGAAACTTGATAAAATCTTCGAAGAAGTCTTCGCTGAAGACTACTTTTTCCAATTAATTTTGCGATGTTATTGTCTGTTGTGTCTTTCACTTTTCTGTTCAATTTTAGCTGTTAATAGGCAGGATTGTTTTCGTTTAAGCCTACCTTGAGCCCAGGGGGGCACAATTGTCGATTTTATCTTTACTTGACCACAAGTCATGTTGGCTGTTTTTTTAACAGTTTGTCTGCTAACCAGAATATGGAGATTCCTTTCATTTAGGTTGGGCTGAACATTTCATGAGGCCATAACAGTTGTTAACTGTGATGTGAAATGACCAATAAGCATAATTTTCCCTTACTTGGTAAAATATACAATCTAAACATATGCATAACGAAAAATAGTTTATTGCAGTAACCTAAACTGGCAAAAAAAGAAACAGGACCAATGTCAAGGAAGATTGTATTTATTTATGTCAAAAGACATGAATCAACATAATCATTAATGAGTAATGCCATGAGAAACTAAAATATACCCTATTGCGTCAGTTGTGAGGATGAAGAATTGTTTTGGTCGGGATATGCAAGGACGGGGGCTTATGTACAGGCTTGCTTTAGTTTTTCAAATGCCTGTTTGGACAAGAAGGTTGTATGGAATGAAGGTGATGCCAGAAAAGATTGCTTCAAATGTGTGACAACACCAGGCCAAACATAAGAGTGAGCGAGTGAGTTGATATGTAACGTCACATCGGCAATAACTTAGCCATATCGTGACCAGCCAAACCTAAGAAATGACGTACATGATGAAAATGTTTACGGGTGGGGGCTGTGTGACTGAATCTATTTTTTTAAGTATTGACATAGATGCCATCTTGGCTTCCCTCAGCAGGTGACTTGGTTTGTCACGAATTTAAATTTGATTGGTGGATAGAGTGTGTCCTCCTTCTTTGATCATTTGGAATACTGCCTTGAGGTGATTCATTTCTTTTGATTCCTTTGAAATGTTTGCTGAAATGAGCATCTTTGAGGCCAAGAGGGATGAAAATCATTTTAAAAACCCTTGTGTTTTGCGTCTGGATGGAGTGGTATTTGCCAAAAACCACTAGCACAATCAAGGACAATTTGGCCTGGCTGTCGCCTACAGCATCAATGACATCTTCAAAACGTGGTAGAGGGAAATATATATGCTCGGTCACTGCATTGAGGTGTTAATAATCTACATGAAAGCTGTAAGAGCTATCACGTTTTTAAACCATTACAGCAGGATAGTCCCATTCAGAAGAACTGGGCTGAATGATATTGGCGTCTTGCATCTGTCTAGAACATTCTTTCCTAATGGTTGCCTTTTGACTTTGAAAAAAGGAGTCTTATGGGTCTGTCGTCACCTGTTTCTATTATGTGAAGATGTAAGTGAGTGAGTCCTAATTCTGACCAATCTGAGGCAAAAACTGATCTTTGTGATTGGAGAAATGCATTTTACTGTACTCTTGTACTTTCAATATTTTTCAAATGCTTTGGACGACAAAAGCTCCGCGACGTTCAGGGGTACTGTCATGATGCAAACCACTTCAATAGGTCTCTTCATGACTGCATTTATCCAAGATACCTAAATGTTTCAATATGGTTCCAAACAGCACCAAATTTCCATCTCATTACAAAACCTGACTGACATGGATATCGACAGAAGTGGACTGATTGTAGCCAATGACCAGTCACCAATGACTATGTCAAGGATGAATATTTGCCGTCTGACTTCCTGCCTGTGTGTTACTGGCAGAGCAGGTGTGCGTACTGGGAACACTCAGTCCCACTGATCAGGTTTCTGTAGCACGGACGATTGATTCTCAAAAATGTTGAAACAGTATTCGGTTTGAGGACCCAACGTGTCCAAATTTCAGTTTGATAAGTTTCTTTTGTTCGTCACTTTGCATCAATTTTGCATCAAACGTGCATCAAATGTTCATTATCCACAATCTTAGTAACTGAAAAGTATAGTAGTTGTGATTTCAAACATGTCAAATTTACCAGTTTTCTGTCAATTTGAAGAAAACTTCACTCTGGGTTTTGCTACACACGGTGTCTCTTCGTAAAGAAAGATCGTTCATTGCATAAAAATGCTTTATTATACAGCTATTTCCATTGTTCTGTTTTAAGATCATCTACATCTGTACAGTTATTATGTTTTAGTGAACAGTGAGAAAAGTCTGACAGTCTTTCCATAGGTTGAATTTGAAATGGGTCATAAAAGATTTAACTATCTTTTAAGAAGAAAAAGAAATCTCAGCCCCTAAAAATGAAGAGAAAAAAGACTCTACCCCAAAAACCTGCCCTTTCACCCTTGCCATTTGTGATCGGCAATGTCTGGGCACGACAAAAAACCTATGATAGTGGGGTCGATTCTCGTTTCAATCCGATTAAGTTTTAAGGTTTGTCAGCAAAATATCCGTGCTCGTTGGTTTGACCAAAGTGGTAAACGTCTGGGACCTTAATTACTTTCCTCCCACTGGAATATTGTTCACAGTGGCGTTAAACCAAAGTCACGGACAGTCCTACATCACCTCTCCATATGAACAAGCTGTTTGCAGCTCACTCGCAATCACACATGAAATATACTTTTCTTCAGTAAAACTTGCAAAACGAATACTGAACGGGTTTGAAAATATTAACACATAAACATGCTTATTACAATTTAAATAGAGGTATTACGATTAAATAGTAGCTCTGTAATATAATCTCCAAAGTCTATTGTCTCTATTCTCTTTAAGTCTGTGATGTGAGGTTGGCCTCGAAAATTATCTACATTTTAGGTTTGTCAGCACCAAAGATTATTTGGCTTTAAAATGCTGCTCACCTTGACATTGAGTGTCGGGGGTACGGGGTTAAGGTTGGTTAATATTGTATTTTCAAATTCTACGAATTCCAAACAGGCTGTGACACGGGAATGGTACTTACAGGCAAGGGTAACTGGAGATTCGTTCCCACGATCGACAATACATTTCAGTGGTTAGGACGTATTTGGACTGTGAATTGCGGCTTCCCAAACTACCTTGCCGTCAGTGTAAATTGTTTAAAAAAAATTTACAATGTGTTCATATCTTACGTTCATTCCACTTTTGTTGTTGTTGTTGTTTTGAGGCCATTAGAAATGTATGAAAGTCAATTTTGTACTGTAGTGTCATTTGTAATACTAGTTATGATCTTTAATGTTCTTATACAAGTTTATATATAACGCTGTGATATTATGTTCATTATACTGTCCTTCGTCAACAGGCATTTTAGATATTATTGATGCAGTCACAATATGGCTGAACTATTGTGACTTAATTGTTTGCATTAATATATGACACGATAAACGTTTCTCAGATGGAATCTCATTCTTGGTGTATTTATGTATAGAGAGGTGTGTTTAATAGTTCAATTTAATAGTTCTTTCAATCAGAGCTTCATATTCCCGTGTATTAACTAAGAGACCACTGAGTATCCAACGTCATACAATGATGTTGAACAAAAAGAATTAATTCGTAACAGAAACTTAAATATCACTGCAGGTTCGACCCCCCTAATGCTGACCAGTTTCCCAGCTACTGCATCGCCTGGCCAACCATACATCTTGATGTGCAGCAGCAGCAGTGGCAGCCGTACCAGACAATGGTACTGGAGGAATGATGTAATCTTCTCCACAAATTATGTATCAGACAAATTGTGTCGAGTAGATGCTGCCAACAATGACCTGTATCAACAGCTGTCAAGGCATGTCAATATGACCTGTAGTCAGAACCAGCACAATGTGACTCTCAGGATCCTCACTTCCATAGATAATGGATCTGTGTGGTGGTGTCTAGATTATCAGGCCATGGGCGGTCCAGTGAGAAGCAATAATCTGACGATAAGTGAGTATGTGGTGTGTTTCATTGACAGCCTGGACCAGTATTGAGACTCTTCTATAAATGTAACATCACATCAAACATGAAGCTAGTAAAAGTATCTTCAATACCTTTCTTAATGTCGTAAGTGTTTAATGACTAATATATGTCTATTTTCGTCGAGTCATTGACGTTGTGTTTTTATTTTTAGGTAGGTATGTATAAGAGGATTTGGTTCGAGCAAATTTGCAGGGCAAAAAAATAATTTCCATTTATGAATAATCACGATGTATGTGCTTTATAAAACTAACTAATCACATCCGAGACATTTCTCTTCCTGGGGGAAACATTTAGATCACACATGCTTTTATAATGTTCCCCATTAACATTAGACATATTTCAACTTATATAGGTCTGTTTATTCTGAGGATAACTCACACATACACATGTGTCCTTAATCTTTAGTTTCACCTGAGTTCCATGGGTATTTGAACATAGCTACCGGATATGAAATATGATATGCTCAAACCAAAAGCGTTGATCACAGTCCTTAACCAGTGTACATTGCTAAATATTGTTTGCACGGTTGTTACAGTGTACGTCCTCAATGCAGAACAAAAGATTTCCATCTGTAAATATTGCGACTTGTTTCATTTATTGGACGTTTAAATCAAAATGATGTGGACGCTGACTCATATGACCACGGTATCTACTGCTGGCTGCAAACTATTTAGCTATATTGATGTCAACGTCTGACCTTGCTATTAAATAATACAAAATCAAATTTGACCTAACTTTTTTTCAGCCAAAGTTAATCATTTGGCAATGGCCTCAACAACTTCAACAGGAAAATCTGACACGGTCAGCAAGACATCTCAAACAGTGGGTGAGACACTTTAAGCAAACTTAATGTATTGTAATGCCATAATAGAACCAAAACATATCGTTTAATTTGATGTGTACACAAATATCATTTAGACATGGATCATGTAGACATGATCAATATAAGAATGCTGTAGATTTGAAATATCACAGAAAATATATATCCGAAAGTTTGTTTAGTTTGTAAACCCATAAAACTTGAGAATGTATGATTTAGCAGTTGAACCTCCCTTACCCTCAATTGTATATCCAAATGAATAAAGATAATTAATATTTACACTACTAGGGACATGGTCGTTTCGATTCTCCGCCCTTTTGGTATCGACAGTGACGTCCTGACGATTTCAGGTAACTGCATGAATAACTGTCTTTTTATTCACGTTAACAGATGTGACAAATGGAACAATGATGCCGTCAACAATAGTGCCTACAACTACTCAAGTTGGTGTCAGTGTTTTCGAACGTCCTGAAAGTAACGGTAATTAATTATTCTGTGTGGTCATGGTTTCATTTCACAAATCATGGAAGCTAAATATAAGACACATTCACTGATTGTTAACACTTCCTTATCCCGCATCCAACATCCATATGACGCATGCATACACATCCGCTACTTACATTACGTTGACAAGCGGGCTCGAAATCACTTACACATGACGTAAATTATTTACTTTTTGATATGTTTCAAATTTGATTCATAAGGCAGACGTATTTACTTTTCATAAGTTCAAAAGATTGCACCATGTAGATAAGGAGGTGGGATTTTATCGTTCAGGGTAGTTTCTTTTACATATAAAGGTAATCAAGTTGTCTACATCGCCGTTGGTGTTGGGGGAGGTGTTGTCGTCGTCATTGTCGTTGTCGTCGGCGTTCTGTGTATAAGAAGAAAGAGAGGTCGTCCTGTGAATAAAGGTAAATTAACCACTATCCTTTTCCACACAACACATTGGTTTTATTATACGGTCTGCAGTTTGAGTTATAAATTACAATACGGATTGGTATTTGTGACAAATACGTAATTTGACATATCACGAGCAATCTCTTGTTGCTCTTAAACCTCAATTTAGAGACAGTACAACCCATACAGCTTGCTTCCCTTGCAGGCAGTACACGTGAAGAGAAGTACGAGACACCCACACATGTCTGCTACAACGAGTAAGTTAACTCTCACATAAAATCCATTCGTGTTGAGTTGGAAACATGTACATGCTCATGATAAAGTCGGAACTGTACAATGCTTCTGCAAGAGCCTTGTCATGAATATGGATAATTCTGTCTCTTTCATTTCGATGTGAAATTTCATAATTTGCAATATACAAATATTTATTAAAGTGTTTATATTAATAAAAAAAAAGACTTTCAATAGGTGACTGTAGAGGTTCTGGACTCATTCGAATTTTAGTTATAGGAAATATTTTAATGTATTTCTTTCAGAAATCCCGGCTTTGAAGACCAAGACATCACCAACAAAGTTCAAGGTACGATTGTTTGATTATGTGATGTTTTTTTTGTTTAAATGGCTTAAAACGGCAGCTTTATATAATGCATATTTGGAATACAATAATTTATTGTAGTATTTTAATGAGGTTTTGCATTGTATATACCCTGTAAGTAGTCGAGTATGGGAGTAGGTGGCGAGTTGCTTCTGGACATGTCTGGATATGTATGTATGCAAATATGTACAAATGAACATGCTTATTATTATTATTTATAGATTAAAATAAAAAATCCAGCAAAGAGAGTTTGGGTGATCCTGGCACAGTCAGGCTGGTTAGGCTCGTCATCAGCTCAGGGCCCTTGTCCCATCTACACGCAGCCCAGACAGCGAATGGGACTTCTCCAAGGAAGCGCTGCCTAGTCAAACCCACCCAGAACTTTTCAGAGAATGTGAAGACTCCCCAACACTGCAGCCTTCTGCAATACCAAGATTGTCAGAAGGGCTGTATTCCTGGTAGCAAACCCGGGTACTCTCCCAATGCCAGTCAACAGATTGGGAGATACCAAACCTAAGGCACCGAGAACAATGGGGAGTCGGTCAACTTGGAACTTGGGATGCAAGTGTGACATTTCGAATCCCCATATTTGCCAAGTTTTTCCTCAATCTTGTCAATCACATTTATATAGTGTCAAAGGGGACAGAACATCCAATGATATAAATGATTTCATTGGATTTATGAAAAAGGACAAGATCAGGTTTGTTGGCCTGGATAAGTCTGAGGCTGTAAATGGGCCTATTCCAAACGATTTTGTATTTATCATTTTCCATTTTCTTAAGTCTACATTTGTACTCTGCCCGAAGTTTGCCCTTGACATGGGCATTCTGGAGTTTGTCCCTAATCTGCATCCCTTAGTACGTATAGGCCTGACATCCCACAAGATGGTCAATAACTCCTCCTCCAAGTAAACTGACTGATCCTCCCCCTTCTACCATGCCACGATTCAAATGAAGAATGTTACATTTGTGCCGAATGCCGTTATCATTAGGAAAGGACTTGACAAGCAGAATCTGATTTTTGAGCGTAGATCCTCCATTGGCAATAAGTTCAAGGTCATCCATGTAAAGGAGGTGAGTAAGGGGTGTTGGGGATTATGTGCTTAGGAGGTTCCGGGTGGTAACCTTCCTCTTTGCTGAGCAAAAAGCTTAAAGGATTTAGTGACAAACAGAAAAGCAAAAGAACTGAAAGAATCACCCAGAAATATTCCTCTTCTTATAGAAATGGGTTCCGAAGTCACCACCTGCCCCTGCTAATACATCTCAAGTTGAGTTGACCAGCAATTCATTAAAGACTTAAGTAAAACAAGAAGTCGCTCGGGGAAGTCAATACATTCCAGTGACCTCAAAAAGTTTTAGCCTCTTCAAGGATCATTTTCTGAACTAGTAGTTGATCCTTACAAGCCCACCATCCCTCTCTGGCTCCTTTCTGCTCCATGTAAATAATGTCATTGGATGCGCAGTATGATGACACATTATCTGTAAGACATCATGTAAATATTTTGTATTGTGTATTCAGACAAGCAATAGGGCGGAGGTTTGGGGGATCAGTCAAATCACCTTTCTTTGGGAGAAGTATTGTTCGACCCTTGCACAACCAAGGCAGAACATCCCCTTAAAATAGTAGTAGTAGTAGTAGTAATAGTAGTAGTAAGGGCAGTGGTATTAGCAGTAAGGGTGGAAGTAGTAGTAGTAGTAGTTGTAGTAGTAACGACCGGATTTTCGTTAGAGTCGACCAACGGGATCGGGTGGTCAGGCTCGCTGACTTGGTTGATGCATGTCATCGTATCCCATTTGTGTGGATTGATGCTCATGACATCATTCACTGGGTTGTCTGGTCCAGATTTGATTATTACAGACCACCGGCTGGAATATTGCTGAGTGCAGCGCTAAACAACACACGAACAAAAGTAGTACTAGTAGTAGTAGGAGTGTCATTGTTGTTGTTTTCGTTGTTGTTATTGTTATAAACGTGGGAGTGGAATATCGAGGTTCAAAATTTGTCCTTGTTCATTACAGTGGAAAATGATATTTATGAGACTTCTCAGGACGCCACATCACCCAACCAGCCTTCAACAAATGACCACATGATAACAGGTTTGGAAATTTACATCGTCTTACCATCTTTGGTAAGGGGTGTTGGGGATTATGTGCTTAGGAGGTTCCGTGTGATAACCTTCCTCTTTGCTGAGCAAAAAGCTTAAAGGATTTAGTGACAAACAGAAAAGCAAAAGAACTGAAAGAATCACCCAGAAATATTCCTCTTCTTATAGAAATGGGTTCCGAAGTCACCACCTGCCCCTGCTAATACATCTCAAGTTGAGTTGACCAGCAATTCATTAAAGACTTAAGTAAAACAAGAAGTCGCTCGGGGAAGTCAATACATTCCAGTGACCTCAAAAAGTTTTAGCCTCTTCAAGGATCATTTTCTGAACTAGTAGTTGATCCTTACAAGCCCACCATCCCTCTCTGGCTCCTTTCTGCTCCATGTAAATAATGTCATTGGATGCGCAGTATGATGACACAATATCTGTAAGACATCATGTAAATATTTTGTATTGTGTATTCAGACAAGCAATAGGGCGGAGGTTTGGGGGATCAGTCAAATCACCTTTCTTTGGGAGCAGTATTGTTCGACACTTGCACAACCAAGGCAGAACATCCCCTTAAAATAGTAGTAGTAGTAGTAGTAATAGTAGTAGTAAGGGCAGTGGTATTAGCAGTAAGGGTGGAAGTAGTAGTAGTAGTAGTTGTAGTAGTAACGACCGGATTTTCGTTAGAGTCGACCAACGGGATCGGGTGGTCAGGCTCGCTGACTTGGTTGATGCATGTCATCGTATCCCATTTGTGTGGATTGATGCTCATGACATCATTCACTGGGTTGTCTGGTCCAGATTTGATTATTACAGACCACCGGCTGGAATATTGCTGAGTGCAGCGCTAAACAACACACGAACAAAAGTAGTACTAGTAGTAGTAGGAGTGTCATTGTTGTTGTTTTCGTTGTTGTTATTGTTATAAACGTGGGAGTGGAATATCGAGGTTCAAAATTTGTCCTTGTTCATTACAGTGGAAAATGATATTTATGAGACTTCTCAGGACGCCACATCACCCAACCAGCCTTCAACAAATGACCACATGATAACAGGTTTGGAAATTTACATCGTCTTACCATCTTTCGATCCGGTAAAAAGTACATCTGTAATTTAAAGGTCATTTGAACATTTGATTTCAGACCACATTTGAACATTTGATTTACAAATTAATACGTATCTAAATTGTAAAACATGTTCAAAGTAGGATCACCTCTTTGCTACCAACGCTAAAGCCGCAATGTTGGTAGAAACGTTGAAACGGTTTGAATATATTGCAAATAAAGAACCAAAACTCGTTATGCTCGTTTCAATTTCCCTTTACTTAAATACTGATATGCACATGTTCCCTGACTTAATTTTTCTATGCATGCCTTATAAATTATTCTTTGATATTAGGCTATTGGTTTAGTCTGATCATCAAATTTGGAAAATGTCACACCAGTTTGAGGGAGGGAGTGAGTGAGTATGGTTTTACGCCGCTTTTAGCAATATTCCAGCAATATCAACGCGGGGGGACATCAGAAATGGACTTCACACATTGCAACCATGTCGGGAATCGAACCCGGGTCTTTGGTGTGACGAGCGAACGCTTTAACCACAAGGCTACCCGACCGCCCCCGCACCAGTTTGAAATATACCACAGGAAGATGATATACCCTATCTTCTGAAACTTGTTCAATGACTGTATGTAGATTTCAATTCAGCTGTTTGAACCTGATCATATGATTTGATACCCTTTGATGGACTTTGATTGTTCGAGTATTTGTCCTAAAGTGTTATTGTTCACGGCTGTAGCACGGAACGGGAAAGAAAACGTTACAGATTAATGAAATATATTTTCCATTGGACCGTTCATCTAAACATAGAGCACATTAACTGTATCACTGTTATGTAATTTCATTTAAATATTTATGACCTATAATTTTCTATCAGATATTTACGCCCAAGTGATGAAACCCAAGGGAAATAAGCCGGGACCTCCAGGTACAGCTGGCGACATCAACATAGAGGATCTATACGCCAAACCTGACAAAACTAAGATCTGGAAGAAGCAGGAAGACTAATGTAAGTATTCTGCGGAATTATCAAGAAATCGTAGTTGATAAAATAAGCAAATGACATTGCGTCCTCACATGGTCATCGTATATACAGCGATAAGAATGTGACATCACATTGTTAATATTTATCCAGATGATTTTTAAGGATACTGTGTGGCAAGTGAAACTTTTTTGTTTTGTTTCACAGTGGCTGGAAAAAGGGGAAACCTTTGATGATACGAAATGGACTGACATATGTAATGTCAGAATTCTGAAAAAGGAGATGTACTGTATATGTGCCTCGTAGATTTTCGGTGACACATCCTAGTTAAATAGTTTTATACTCTCTTCAGCAGTATGATTGGTACAGTGTTTTCATTATAAACGTTGATTGTGTGTACAAATATAAAAATCAAAGCGTCACAGGCTCCATATATACAACAGCTATCTGTTTACTCCAAGATCCCCTGCTCCAACTTGTAACTCATCACTTGTTGCTAAACATGTTATGGAGGATACAATCACGAACAGGCTTTGTGCTTTTTTTACATTTTAATGATTTTTTTTGTTGATTTTACATGTAATGCAGATTCAACTTGGCTTTTATCCATATTTATTCAGGACATTTCTTTTCTGTGGAATGATAAAAAGGCTACCTTGTACGTCCTTGTGAATTAGTGACGGAAGGGGTGAGTGTGTGAAACCCAGGAGCATAGGTATGGTGCTAAGAAACCATGAGTCGTTATCAGAGCGATACTCCGTGTCGCCTGAGGGACGCAACTATGCGCAGCGACACGGGGTATCTAACGCCAGTTTGGTATCCATGCCCCAGTGAATATTTCAGGGCTTTTGTATGAGTTTGTATTATTTGTATAATATCAGTTAATAACATGAACAAGCCCATATTTTAAATTCCACCTGTATTGTCAGTATGTCAAAACAAGAGTTATCAATGATGACATCACTTTAACGGTGACAGAGCTATTTTATCTATGAAAATGATGTCACAATATCTTTGGTGTCCATACACAGTTATCATGTCCGCAAGCAACACATCATGACCCATTTATTAGTTTCATTCTGTAGTTTTTACTCTATAATATCATCAATCGCATCGCCACTCGTAACACAGGCGAAGTTAACGTCTTAAGAGTTATTACGAAACACAATTGTTTGATATTTGAGTAGGTCCATGATTTATGATATGTAACGTTTATGACGTTTTTGTTATCCGTAAATAATCGACAAACTTTCTTACTTGTATAATTTCTGACGGAACCAAATAGATTATAAAAGTACATTAATCTTATTTAGATCACTTATGTAGTTAAAAGTGAGGTAAAGTTCGACCCGCCGCCCTACAATCAGCTGAGTTCTGTTTATTCTGTAAATTGAAATGCATATGCATGTGACTTTACTTTGACTAAATAATGTCTTTCAAAAACACCAAACTAGTATCTCCGTGTCTAATGTATAGTCACTTTTCCCCACCACATGTGACTATCACTATAAAGTGTGTACGTCTCGTTTTAACCCTTATCCCTTTCAAATCAGTTCCAGGTGTTTTTATGCCATAACAAGTCACTTTATGCTGACATTATGTTAACGACCATACACAACTGATATGAAAGTGTTGTGTACTTCTCTGACTTGTACATTGCCGTGTTGTGCGGCAAATGCTTGACACTTGTGATCACTCGAACATTGATTTCTTTCAGCGACATGTATGTGTGCCTGATAAACATTCATGTTTTCCTCAACTCAGACGTGTACAAGAACAGCTTGTATTACATGGCTATCAGTGAACACAACCTAGCGTGCTTTGGTCGCCACCCGTAACAATGCATAGCCTACAAATAGGCAGTATATGTTACCGCGGTATGTGTATAACATTAGCCTGTTATTGAAAGTGATGTATATTTAGACAGCCGTTCCCTGCTGAATATAAATTCCTGGTCTGGAAAACACAATCTTGTTCAACCTGTTTCTGAATGTGTTGACAGGGCAACGGGTGAGCTGATTAAATAGGTATTATTTGAAAAACAAATCGCTTTGGCTCTTGCAGTAACTGTATATCCCTCGTGGGACACACAAAGTTTGTTGTGAAGAGTTACTTCCCCTAGACCGCCCACCTAAAACGTCGTAGACTTACGTTTAGTCACAGAAATAAAGTTATCTTATTATAAAATACATATCTACACAACACAAATAATGAATTAAAATTGAGCCCAGAACAATCCTTATCTAGACTTGTCAAAATTAATCATTCAAGAGCTTGAGTGGGACTTACATATTTTCTCTTGGGTCTGGGTGATAATAAACTTCAATGTATCACACACCAAGCAAACCTGAAATATGGAGGCTGCAGTACCAGTGGGAATATCAATAATATGTATAAATAAAGAGGATAACTAAGAGAGCATGTGATTATGCATTTGAAGAATATATTTGTTTTTTTGATTGATTTATATATGTAAGTTTATACTGTAAACTCGTCATTGAATAAACATTTGTCAATCACGGTGCACGTTTAGTAATCATTTGCATTTTAGCTTAAAGTGAGGTGCACACTATATTAAAGAACACCGAAGCTTGTGATTACCAGTAAAACATAGGGATATTCTCTGTAACACACGTGTGTGAGTTGTTATGACATTTGCCATGTAACCACGTATAATTTCTCGCTTTTAATGTTCGAATACCATCAAGGTATTATTTTCAGTCCAATTAGAAGAATTCTATCTTTGCATACCAAGACATCGAACCTTCATGTACATATCTGAATAATACATGAATTAAGAATGCAGACAGATTATGAAGGCGTATATTGACACGTCCATCCTTCAGAGTGAGAAAGTATATCTTATGTGTGCACTAATATTTGACGGTCATTCGCGAGTTACCCTTATATCAATGCATTTGAGCGTGAAACAGCTTACCATTAATAAGTGTATCAGTGAGGGAATGAATTGGATTTTACGCAGCTTATATCACTATTTCTTACTTTATCACGACTGTTGATACCGGCATGGGTGATAACAATTGAATTAACGAGATCATATTAATGTAAAGAAATGCAATTGTCCTGTTTACGTCAATAAACAATGCCTGACGGTCCGAACACATTGACGAAGCACAGCGCGTCAGTCCAACTTAATGTTGAACCCATATTAAAGCAGCCAAAACAAAAAGACAATACATGTTAGAGAGAACTCAATTTTATGTATGATGTTTACATCACCATGAATTCAGGTAACAATACCATGAACAGAAAACTCCGGGAAGGTGAGTCACGTTCAAGATTATTGTACTTATACAGCGACATGCATGCACGTCTGTCTGTGTGCCTGCTTGTACTAGTTGGGATACGATAACATGCATCAACCAGTCAGCGAGCCTGACCACCCGATCCCGTTAGTCGCCTCTTACAACACAGCATTGTCGCCTTTACGGCAAGTATCAGTTGCTGAAGACGTATTCAATCCCGAGTTTCACGAGTTACCGTTACAGGAGACAACAACAAAAGTAAAGAGAAACGAAACGATGTTTGGTTCATGAGATCCACGAAGAAGATCGGAGTTTGGGGAGTACTTTGGATGAAAGAAGTAGAATTTGACAACGATAGATTCGTTGCGTTCTTTCGAATGACCTGAGGTCAGTGTGATGAAATGTTTGGAATGATCGATCATGTCATTTCCAAAAGGTATAAAAACTGCAGAGGGAGTATATCTCCTGATGGAATTGACGTCACAAGTAGGGGTTTCCCCTGTGCGTTGAAGCAGCAAACAGCAAAACAGTCATAACATTCGTTTAGCATTGCAATATACACACATGCCCAATGAGCTTAAATGACAACAGAGGAATGATGTAGAGATCGCCGTTTTTAGCCAGAATATTGCAGAGTGCCTTAAACAATGAACACACACAAACACTATCGGAATAATTGCTGAATAATACTTTTCACATCACAGAACACAAATGTTGTGTGTTTTCACATCACATGACATCTCATTCTGTCCACAGCTTATTTTGCCTACACTTAAAAGAGCTGATCAACCTCCCAGTTAAGTGAGACAAACAAATTATCAGGTTATGTGGTTTTTAATCTCATCTTTCATTTCCATTGCATTCATATTATTATCATACACGATATAACGTCATAAGTTATTATACACTTATGTCCATGTGTGTCAAAACCTTTATTTGTAATGCATTCATAAAATTTTATTTATGACACCATATCATTATCATATATATGTAGATCTGTAAACACGATGTCACATCACAAGTACACCCATGTACAGATGCCACCTTGTGCTCAGGCGTCCCTTACAATCAGAAAACACAATATTCCAATGAGTAGCACTTTGACACCGTACAGTCAGTCTCCATGAAGACCACCATGTTGGCCACCAGCCTGTGAAGTTACACATTCCACTTTCTGTTGTTTCGTGTCGATTTCCAAATTAAATCAATATGTTAACCCAGGAATCCGCATGTCAGTCTCAAAGGCACAAATACAGTGGTGATATCAAAAGTCAACAATACTATTGTATATTCATCCAGCAGCGACAGTGATCAAGCTTACTCGTTGGGCTAGGCAGGCACTTAGGGATGATGAGCGGTCCTCACGTGAAAGCTGACTCCAAAGCAATGAAATCCAGCCATATCTTGCCTTAAGAGACATTACCTATTTATTACAATATGTACGGTTAAAGGCTATTTACTATGATATAATCGCTATAACATGACGTAGGACAATAAACAATGCATGTATCATATGAATAATTGTCGTCCAAGATGCGCTTAGGATTATTTTCTGATAACAATTTTGTGAGTAGAAGTTTAGGCCTTGTTGACTTGTAACAAATTAAATTAATGTTGTATATTAGGTCCTTATTAAAATCATTCGCTGAAAGGAAATGAACTGTAAAGGGTGTGTGTGTGTGTGTGTGTGGGGGGGGGGGGGGGGGGGGTCTACTGTGCCGACATGTCTCCACATGAAGGAAGAGGCTTCCATAACATAGTCTGGAGACATATTTTTTTGAGATTCTTGGAAACAATAGTTTGTAAGTAAAGTGTACATGGAATATAAGCAATATATATTTTCTGCGATTCTTGGAGATATTGGTTTGCAAGTAAAATATACCTGGGATATTGATGACTGAGGTGTTAAACAACACCAAACAAACAGTACATGCATGTATCTATCAATCGCTACCTTCATATTACGTATATATCATGTCATATGTTAGTGAATGTATCATTGCATAACAGGATTTAGGATATTAATATGGCTTAAAAGTTATCACATGGCAGTTTTCATATCATAACCCATATCAACCCAAGACCCCCATATCACCCAGAGGACCATCTAATACCATTTGCATCACATACCATACAATCAAATTGACATTGTCACGGGAAAGCTAGCCGAGCAGACGACGCACAACGGGACATTACTGAAAATTCTTTCCATCCGGGCTGATGGCGATTGCCGATTCAAAATGCATTGGTAGGGGTGTAATACGTGTCGTGTTGTTACACCTGTCATATTGGATATTATTACCGGGTTGTGCGCTCTGAGTGATATCCAACTTTTCAGGTCTCACCAGATGGAGCTTACTTTGTTACATTCCAAAAAATATATGTATAACATCTTCTGTTTCATTAGAATAGTAGCTACAACTTAAACTGTCTTTATCCCATTATATTAAGAAGACAACATGTATTATGTATAATATATGATGTATGACTTGATACTCTTCCTATCTTCTTCTTAAGTATCGTGTTCATCTTCGTACTCCAATTTTACAAAATGATTATTTCTCTCACATAAATGTCTATAAGTATTTTATATTAATACGGTAAAAAAGAAGATTGTAGGAAAATGGCAAATTTTGGTAATCCTTGACTTCAACAGCATTGTTTCAGAGTGTGAAAAACACCTCTGCAGGTTAAAAATATGAACACACAATACCATTTAGAAAGTGGTAAAATCTAACAAATGTTATATTAGGGATAACATGTTCTTACTAAGTACAGGTTCTAGTACTTTTTGTTGTTGAGTCGAACCCACACTGCCAGTGTGAGGCACCTAATCGCCAGCACATAAAGTCAGCGATCTATCCACACAGCCACCGAGGCTTCCACTTATTAAAAGTCCGACAACTGGTAGTATACATCACGTATTTTGTGTACCTCTCTGACAAGTGTAAATCGGCACGGATCCCATGGCCGAAAGCTATGACCACTGCCATTTTGAAAGTGGTCAAATGTAACAAATGTCATATTTGAGATACCACTTTCTTTGTAGTGTACAGGTTCTAGTACTTAGTTCTATTCGAACCCACCCCGCCAGGGTGAGGCACCTAATCGCCAGCACACCCACTCAGCCACTGAGATGTCCACATAATGAAAGTCTGACTACCATTGGTCTAGATCCCGTACTGTGTGTGCCCCTTTGTGTGACAAGTTGAAATTGGCACGGATCCCATGGCAGTGTGGCTCGAATCTGCCAGCATGTCCTCTTTCAATGTTTGCTCCGGGGATTCATCTAATTGTTTAGTCAGGAGATTTTGTTTTAGTTTTCTTTCCCGTATATATTTCTTTTTTTTCTTTTTGTAGGATGAAAATTGCGTTGTCTTCACTCTTAAAGATTGATTGTCAATATTAAACTCTGTTTCCATCATATTATCTTTATTTTTTATACTGCTGTTTTGTTTCTTCAATGGTAGTCTTAACGAGTGTTACATCATCTCAAGTTCCGTCTTTCAATAGAGAACTATTTAACTTCCAAAACACTTTCAAATTATGCCTGAATTACCATGTTGACAGAGGCATAGCTAGCATACACCAACACAACCAATTGCAGAATCATAGACCCAAAACAACCACACTGTTTCAAGAAAGCGCTGTTGGTAAAAGGCACATTTACTGTTGAATATTGTATTCTCGAATGTGTCGTATCTTGTATTCTTGTGTTACCCTGTGTTGTGCTTATGGATATTTTTGTTTCTTTTGTGTGGTGTTTAACGCCACCATCAGCATAACTCAAGCTTCATGAGAGCGGCCAGCAAATCAGTTAATGATATTGCGAGCAATGATCCACTCCATCTGAGTACGAGAACATGCTATCAACCCTGTCACCGAGCCTGACTACCCGATTAATTATATCGCCTCGTTAGACAATAATGTTGATTGCAAGGGACATATTCTAAGTACCAAAATTCATAAACGGGCTAGTTGTGAAATCAATGAAGTTACAATGGGTGAGGTGAGGGGAACATGGGTCTGCTTCTACTAGTCCAGACTAATGTCGAGTTTGTAGTGCTAGCCCATTGAATCTAGTTATTAGCATCACGTGAATCGTTGTAGTACGTTGTATTTCCAGCATTTGCATGTTCATCAGGATGCTGATGTTGACCAGTTGTGTTGTAGTAGGCTGCGTTACCCGCTTGGTCCCCTGTGTTCACGGAATCTGGAGAACCAGCCCCACTAACCTTCACAGTATTGACGTACTGCCTGTCTACTTTATCATACTGGTGCTCCATGTCCTCGTAGTGGGCCGGAGACGTGTATATATTTGGAGCGCTCGCATCGTCTTCTGGAAGTTATATTTGAAGAAAAGTGATGGTAGTACGACACTAAAACTTCTTTTAACATTTTGTATTTCATAGGAAAATAATCTAGAAGGTATTTACATTCATTCATTTCTAGAGATTGAGCTTATGATGCAGTTCGTCCCTGTATAGTTCGAAACAATACGATTTAAGTGTCTTGTTGATAAGATATTAACCAGGTCTTTCAGGATTAATGGCAACACAGTTACAAATACATGTCCTTGCAATTGTTCACTAGCTCTAATGTGCTATTGACACTGGCATATGACACAGACTACATATTTCCTACCTGTACTGGTGTTCCTCCTTCTCATCCACATGATGAAGACGATGGCGGAGATGACGCAACCAACAACAACGCCACCCACCGCTGCTCCTACCGCAATGTAGACGACGTTTGGGGCATCTTTACAAAGTAGAAATAGCAAAACAAATTTAAAAACTAATTACGCTATACACACTGTAACTGTTGATATGCTTCTTTTGGGGTTCTACATATTTTTCGCATTAAATGATGTTTGATGTGACTGTTCCTATTAAATACATGCAGAATAAGTTCATGATTTTAAGACTCAAGAAAAATGGACATGTAATCATCTATGTTTGTTGACACCTCAAAGACACAGGAGATGTGGGTACTTTGGGTGCGGTGTTTCCTATCCACATCAATAAATTGAAAGCGCAAGTGTTGGTGCACCTACCGTCACCTGATGTTGGTTTCTCGTCAGCCCCATGGTCTGCAGTAGACACTGCAGACACACAGACATGATAGGTGTGTATCATGTACATATTGAGCATTTTTTTAATTACAGAAACACAGATGTGAGTAATACGCTAAATGATTCCAAACAACATCATATGATTATATTTACAATTGCACATCTGAGTTCTATCGACTGAAAGTTGTTCATATCTACATGTCTATCACAATTTAGTATTATTGTTGATAGCAAAACATTTCAGACATAATTATTTAAGAGGCACTGGACTATACGCGAATCTGGAGAAACAATTATTTGGAGGCTCACCTTTCTTCAGGGAATATCGTTCATTAAGTATCATATAAGTGTATAATTAGGACGTCTGTATGGAAAACATCATCAACTGATTTGTGCTTTGAACATAGCTTGTCTGCTGTTGCTTTATTTTGAGCAATGTTAGGATTTTTTTATACATACAAAGCAATATTCATGCACGCAAGAGGAGACAAAAGGAGACAATTTGTAGGCTGGTCGGTTTTTACTGCACGATGAATTCTATATTAACCTGGTCACGTTAAGTCGAATCAATTGTAAGAATAACTGACACCATAGTATCAATTTTGTCATCAAGAACATAGATTGGATCAAAACAGGTGTAGTGATGATTTTCAACTCCAGTTAAAAAAGATGATATTCTTATGACAAAGTGAGACATACGATCAGAGAGTTCCTGAATATAAACAACTGTAACTAAATACGTAAATAATGTCTATATCACATTTATGGTGTATTGAGTGTCTGTATACGGGGTATCTTTAATTTCAATGAATATAGTTATTAATGTGCTCTGTCTTTTTGCAAATGAGGTAACATATTACGATGAAATCCCTTTGTTATGCAACTTCACTGCATCTATATTTCTTAGCAGGTTCATGATAAGTGGCACAGAGATAAGTGAGGTCATATTATTGTGACGGCATGGTAACTGATGACGTCATACTGGTCTGCATAGCATTCAAATGCAATTCTCTTCCAGTGATATCTCCAAGTAGGTATCGCTTGAAACCAGTTTTTTTTATGATAAGTTATATAGGTTCTATTATGGAATAGAACAGCGTGATAATATATCTCACCCCCTTCTTGAAGAGACGTGCTTGAAGAGATATCAAACTTTGCTGTAGTAGCTGAAGTACCTGTAGTAGCTGTAGTTGTTGTAGTAGCTGAAGTACCTGTAGTTGCTGTAATTGCTGCTTTCGTAGCTGTTGATGACGCTGTCGTAAGGTTTACTACGTCTGGAAAAGTACCTCTTTTTCATTAAATTGCCTGCCATTAATTGAGTAATTGAAGGACTAGACTGTGGTATCAAAATGTTCATATGTTATGTTTTAGCGTTTTGGTATGATGGTGATTTGTGCGTTTTCATAAATATGTTTCATAATGTATTCTGAGTCAGTTGCGGGATGAGTTTAGCATAAGCAAATGTGTTTAGCTCTTAATGTGCTTAGGCTTGTATTTGAATCCTCCTCATAAAAGATTTTGCATTTGAGATCCACACACAAGAAAGGGACAAGGATCGCATAACAACATGAACATCCAAATGCATGCCTTGAGTGGCCTGACTGTTTCGAATTGTTTAATATTTTAACGCTATTATGATCTAAAGAATTCATGATTTCCAGTTAAGCTTATAAAGAAGTTCACGAGAAATGTGGGAAATATAATATTAAAAGGTGGCATTCGATAGCTTCACCCTCCGGATGAGACGAAGTATGTAAAACTGTCGGAACAGTACAATCGAGTCAGTTTTGTCGCTTTTATTTTTTGTGGATCTTCACGATGCGGAGTTAACGTCACCTTCAAGAAGATGTGATTTGAGCTGAAGCTTAATAAAGTGACAAAACTATTTTCATAACCATAATAAGTCTCAACTAAAGCAGCGTCCATTGTAAGACAATATCATAAGCATGTATTTAAGAATCACTATCAAATAGTGATGATACCAGATACGTGTAGTCTGTCCTATACATGCAAAGGCTAGTCAACTGTTCAACGGGCGGTGGGGTAGTCTGGTGGTTAAAGCGTTCGCTCGTCACGCCGAAGACCCGTGTTCGATTCCCAAAATGGGTACAATGTGTGAAGCCCATTTGTGGTGTCCCCCCGCAGTTGCTGGAATATTGCTAAAAACGGCGTAAAACCATACGCACTCACTCACTCAATTGTTCAACTAAAACATACAGGGGAACATATGACACTAGTCAAAACAGGGAGTTGCATCGGCCATCATTTTTGTCACATATGTATCAAATCTGGAAATGTCTTCCACATGACTACCATAACACTTAATGACTTATTTTTTCACTGGACTATGAAATCTTAAAGGAAAGATGATAAATGCGTGACAACATTTTCAAGTATTAAGCTAAAACTGTTTTTTAGTGATAGATCACATAATCGTAGTTTATGAGTAGCGTCGAATAAAAAAATACTTTAATACAAGATCATATTCTATTGATTGTTTTCATTCGGCTTTAAATAGATTGAGTAGATTGAGATTGGTACTTATTTGAACTGATTTGTGTTTACTTTGACACCCTTGATGTTCACATTATCATATCATAAAACGTCTTAGGGTAATTTGCCTTCTACCTCATCGCAGGTATAGCTGGTAAATTTCTTGAAAATACTGAAGAAAAAGCAAATCATGAATTTAAAACTTCTGAACATGTTTTTATTTCAGATAACTTCAGAGCGTGAAAATGCTGATATTTTAAACGTGCTTTGAGCGTAAGGATGTTCAGATTGCAAACATGTAAATCACAAAAACAGCTATTAGAAGGCGAACTGTTTCACCCAGTGTTGCACAGTAGATGTACTGTGGAGGTACTTTAATTTTCTGCATTTTGAACAAATATTGCTTGAAGCAACCCTTGACATTAGCTCAGCTTTTCGATTACACCTATATTGCCATATTCATCAATACATAGGAATTTTGATGGTGAATATATATATATATATATATATATATATATATATATATATATATATATATTAGCTACGCAAACGCGAAAAACAAAGAACTGACATTGTAAATGGTAAAATAATTGGTTGTTTAGGTTTGTTTCACTTACGATAGTGTTTAATGTTAAGATTCCACAGGTCTCGCAATCAAGGATCAGTTGCATCTGAGGCCAAGCTGTTTATTCACAAACCATAACATACTCACGTATTGTCAGTCTGTTGCTCTCCTGACTACGCGCAGTATCCACACACCACCACACAGATCCATTGTCTATGGAAGTGAGGATCCTGAGAGTCACATTGTGCTGGTTGTGACTACAGGATACATTGATACGTCCTGACAGATGTCTGTAGTTGTAATCGTTGGACTTCTCAACTTGACAGTTTGTGTCTGAAACATATCGCGTACGAAGGAGTAGATCATTCCTCCAGTACCACGCTCTAGTCCTGCCATCATTGCCACTACTGCTACACATCAAGGTGTACGGCTGGTGTGGCGATGCTGTTGCTGGAGAACTTGTTAGCTGTAGGGAGTTCGAACCTGTAGCAAATTCAAAACGTTGTCGTGAATAAGTAAAATCGTGAGCTGTATAGTATTGTTTTATCTCCCTCCTTTTATTCCAATCTAAGAACCCACACCCCAACCAATAAATCTTTTAGACACATGGAATGCTTCTCATCACGAGTATTTTGGTATCAAAAGATCACAGGCCTTTTGTACATGTAGATACAATGCATCATATAGCCCATATAGTTCGTTACGTATTTCACAATATTAAAAGGACATATTCTCCATTGTGTGCAGTCCAAAGTAAACTAAACTAAACTATTATAGCAATTTTTGTCTTGACATTGTCCATGTTAGCAAAATAACTTGTTCCCAATTATCTTTGCCTCACTGGCATTTTATACTTCTGATAATGATACGTCCAGAACAATTCTCAGAGTGTGTGTAGAGTCCCTTAGCTGTGCAAGGATATTACGATCTGTTAGGATCCCTGATTATGGGCATATGGCCTGTCAACATTGATGCCTATGTAATATTCCCTATTCGGAATAGGTGGCATATTATTATCAATGGAAGTGTGTGTTGTGATCGTTTTGGTTGAAAACGTGATTAAATGGGATTCAAAGCCCTCAAATCTCCTGGGCCGTTCCACAATCTCTACTACTGTCGAAGTTCCATGTTAAAGTTTTGGAGGGCACTACGCATTAACACTTTTCCTGAAATTTATTATAAAAATGCATATTGTTTCTCAATCCCAGATGTCAAAACGTGCCATACAGTTACGCGAAATGGTTGCCACATTAATTAAATATTTGGTTTCATAAGATCAATATTTGATCGGAACAGATTCGATTTATTTGGGTTTTCTGCTAACCAGATGAGTCCAGTTATTATGGAATTTTGTGTCATCAATCTTTGTATCATGGCGTCTTCGCATTTTAGGTGACGTCATACCACTCCAGAGTAACGTCACGTCTTTCTAACAACTGTGAGAGTGCACGTAGACAGAGAGTGCTTCAGAATTTTGTATTTGAAAATATATTCACAATGTCGGTTAACAGTATGTGTTTTCAGATTAGCCAGATTTATTTAGTATTCAGTGCGCAGATATTCTGACATTAGTCTCCTGATTTGAATATGCCACGTTTGCGGGTTTTTCTATCAACTAAATTTATGGAACATAAACCCATGCACCCTGATGCCTACTGCTCATCTGCATTCAACTTAAAACGGATTTGAAATACTGATACGTTACTAGTATTCGAGATGATTTTGTGCACTGAGACTGATGCGGATCGCGGGGGCTGGTCCATGTCGGGCACATTCCAGACATCTTGACAAACATATTGAGAATATAGCGATATTGAGACCATCTGCTGATGCACCAGACAAGATGATGGTGGCCAAGCGTCTTTCACTGGCAGGTTCTTGAACTATATTTTGTTATTTTGTTAGTATTTTTTTATTCTTAACGCTGTATGCACACTCAGCAATATTCCAGCTATACAGTGTATGACGACGGTCTGTAAATATTCGACTCTGGGCTAAACAGTCCAGTGATTATTGTTATTAGCATAGATCTACGGAATTGGGATCCGATAACATGCATCAACCAAGTTAGCGAGTCTGACCAGCCCATTCCTTTAGTCGCCTCTCACGACAAGCATGTCATTGGAAGCACGTGATTTAACAAAGATCTAAGTACTTCCTTTTCTGGTGACGCCGCTGCGTGAATAGGAGGTATGCTATTGTTACTTCACACATGTAATAGACAAAAGAACATTCCGCAAAGGCATCGGCAGCATGATTGATGTCATATTTGAGACTCCATGCTACAAAATAAGCTTTTACTCACCCTTTATGTATGTTGTAAACACGCACGCCATCAACACGAGCGTAAGTGGAACATCCATGTCAACATGTCAACACAAAACAGTGATATTACTTACAATTCACAGCATGTTTATTACTAATATGGTTTTGTCACGTCCTAGAAATAAGCTTTATCCTCCTCAGTGCTACTGAACGTCCACAAACTCGTCAATACTATTGAACTTATGTACCGCCACACGCACAGCCAATGTATCCCAGGGATAGGTCCCCGACTCTCTGGCTCTAGCAGGTTGTTGTGTCACCACTGTCGCCGACATGTGTCGTTATTATGCTGTCACACTGGGCACTGTCAGGACGATCAGCTATGCATCAATAAATGACTCTTATCAACTCACAAAGAAGGTCGTGCCAGCAATGTGGCTACACCTGAAACACGAACCAGTGTTTGTAAGACCAGACCAGGAAGTAGTATCTACAGTCCACACAACCCACGATAACTACCCCAGTATGTGCTGTGTGAGTAATGGTATAGTAAACATGGCGTCCTGTTGATTGCCATAAAAACCTAGTGGTATGTATGAACCTAATCTGCCGCCATTCCTTTCACGAGGGACGAGTGACAGGCGGCTCATAACTATCAAATCTGAAATGCGTTGGGTATGACACATAAATATATATATGTTAATGTATGCGTCTCTTTATACTGAGTGCTTTATGCATACTGCCTGACAAGCGATTGTGTCATGTTTCATAGCCAGGTAATACAATCTTACAAAACTACTTAAACAAGATACTACAGGTAAATCACGGTATGGTGACATTTAATAACAATTCAGGTTTATTCCAAGCTTCTTAACTCGCGACGGAATGCCATGATTAATGTGGTATATATTATGGGTCATATCAAACGTTAAAAATGACACACAAAGATATACCACATAAACCATAATATGGAACGTCTATGTGTGCAAATACTTACAAAGTTCTGTGGACAGATTATGAGTGAGTGAGTAAGTTATGATTTTACATCGCATCGGCAATATTGCAGCCATATCGCGATGAGAACAAGTTTATTAATATAATTTTTCTGTCGACAAAGGACAAAAGTAAGGTAATTATCACAGTGTAGACATAAAACTTACCAGAGCAATATCTAAACAAAGACGTTCTCAGTCTGTTTGTAATTAGAAAGTAAAACCAGGCTAGAGACCTCTGGCAACCAAAGCTGGACCACCTAACTGGAGATCATGGGGACTTAAGTGCTTTTGCTTCCTGCGTGATTCCCAGCAGGATTTATGCCATCACTTTGGTCACGAGTGGTTGTACGAAATATTAACCAATATTAAAAAATGAAAACACAATCAAGGAATTAAAACACTAGTTGATATTAATTACTTCAATTTAGATGGACTCACATGCCACTGTCAGGGGGACAATAATTTTAAACTACTTTAACCCTTCACAGCCTTCAAACATCTCAGTTGACAATAATATCCAATTATTCAAAATTTATCAAATAATAGTATTTCTTTAAAAAAAAACGATAATTAAATGAGCACTGATATTATAAAAAAGATCCTTTAAAGATGTTGAATAATAATAGTTATCCCTTATAAGAGAAAAATCAACACAGTCAAGCAAAACATGCTTGACTGTGATTCTCATCACAAGGGACACAGAACGGATCCTCACCTTTTAAAAGATACTCGTGGATATATCGACTGTGTCCAATACGACATCGTTGCAAAACAACTTCGTCATATCTCGAATGGCAATCCAAGAAGGTATACCCTATTGTTGGTTTTACAGCATAAAGTTTGTTTTTACCTACTTGGGTGTTCCACTTCTATTGCATTATATCTTTGATGTAACATTGAATTATTGGCTTGTAATCACTGTATGGTAAAAGAAGTGACGTTACTGATTTGTATACTGCTGCCTTTGCAGCAGTATCAGCCATAGTGTTACCAGCGATTCCAACATGAGTGGGCAACCAGCAAAAGACGATGTCGTATTGGGCAGTGGCGAGAACATTATGCAATTCTAAAATGTCAAGTATTAACGGATGATTTGAAGAACAATTTTGTATTGCATGAAGGCATGACAAGTAATCAGAAAAGATGATGACGTGTGGAGTTGGTTGGTTTTGAATGTAGTCCAATGCTATAAGAATAGCATTGGTCTCAGCTGTAAAAATATAGCTATTATCTGGGATTCTCGAAGACACCATTTTTACCATTTTAGATCCAATGATAGTGGCACTTGAACCATCGGTAAACATAGGACGATGAGAATCATATGTGGATTTTAATTGGGCATATTCTTGTTGATACACCAATGAGTTTGTGTCAGATCTTTTTAGGGTAGTTAGTGTTAGGTCTACCTCTGGTTTAACTAGTTGCCAGGGAGGTGTAGACAGTAACTGGTACGTTGAGATGGTAGAGAGATCAATATTAGCTTCGATAATGCATGGCTGAATTCTGAACCCTAGAGGTGGAACAAGTTTTGGTTTTGATTGAAATAATTTGGCATACATGGTATTAAACACACGCTCATATGCTGGATTCGACGGATTTGAGTACAATTTAGTCACATATTGTAACGAAATTTGAATTCTACGTTGTTTTAGAGATGGCTCATCGGCCTCTACATATAGGCTATCGACTGGTTATGTTCGAAAGGCTCCACGACAAAGTCTCAGGCCTTGATGATGAACTGAATCTAAAAATTGTAAGTTGCTTTTACAGGCCCCACCATAAATGATCGAGCTATAATCGAGTTTGGAACGGATGAGAGAACGATAGAAATGAAGGAGGGTTGTCTGATCCCCTCCCCATCTTGAATGAGAAACGACTTTCAACAAGCCAATTGCCATCGGACATTTCGTCTTCAGATATTTTATATGATGTAAAAATGTAAAATAATACCCAAGAACTTGGCTTCCTTAACAACTTTAATAGGAAAACCAGCCAAAAATAGTTCAGGGTCCTTATGCGGTTTATATTTGCGGCAAAAATGGATACAGTTCGTTTTGACTTTAGAGAACTTAAACCCATTCTCTCGTGACGATTTCTGAATATTATTGGGCATAATGGTAACTGTCTCTCAAAAGTGTGCATATTTTTACCACAACAAGATATATTAAAATCATCTACGAAAAGTAATCAATCTACCGCATCACTTAAAACCTTTTGAAAGACTATTGATTTTAATACTAAATAAAGTAACAGACAAAATAGCCTCTTGTTTGACACCCTGCTCCTGACTATAATGGTCAGACATGTTTGAACCCACTCGGACTTAAAATTGCCTTCCGGCTAAAAACTGTGATATAAAATGTGGTAAGCAGCCTCTCAGACCGAACTCGCGTACATCTTTTAAAATGCCATGCTTCCAGGTAGTGTCGTAAGCTTTCTAAAGATCGAAAAATATTGACACTGCATGTTGTTTGTTAACAATAGCATTTTACACAAACGATTCTAATTGTACTAAATGATCAAAACCAGATTGAATATGTGTTAGTAGACTATTGGTTTCTGAGAACCAGTCTATTATTTACCATTCGCTCCATGGTTTTACAGACACAACTGGTTAAAGATATAGGACGGTAATTTGAGGGATCTGTATGATCCCGACCAGGCTTTGGGATAGGGACTACAATGGCATTATGCCACGAAGGAGGAAAATTCCCTGACGTCCATATTTGGCCAAATATATAAAAAAGTGTTTCTAGACATGATTTAGGCAATTGTTTCAGGAGCTGATAGTGAATATTATCAGCATGTATCATGAGCTTGCCCTATGGCAGTATGTAGCTCGTGGAAGAAAAACACTTCATTATAGTCTTCCCCATTTTCAGAGTTAAAATTAACATTTTTCTTTTCCTGTTGATTTTGATATTTTATGAATTCAGGGACATAATTAGACGATCACGAATGTTTTGCCAATGTTTCACCAAGTCTATTGGCAATGTCTGATTTATTAGTTAACACATTATCCCCTTGCTTTAGATGGTGAACAGAGACTTTGCCTTTAATTTTCTGAATCATGTTCCTTACCTTGGATATAGGAGTACGGGAATTTATTTTGGAGACATTGTTCCTCCAAGATTTTGTTTATAAGCGTTTATAAGTGTTTGAATTATCACTACAGATACATAAATTATTATCAGAAATGAATTCCTCAAGTACTTTCCTTTAATTGTTTGTGGTAACACACTTCTCCATAGAGGGCTGTGTCCATTCACATCACCCACAATTATGCATGGCTTGGGTAGCTGATCATACAGATTTTGAAGATCTGTTTGTCGAAGCAAAGTGGATGGAGGAATATACAAGGAACATAGAGTAAAGACAACGTTCAAAGTTAAATGAACAGCAACAGCTTAGAGATTTGAATTGATAGAAATAGGGCTGTGAATCACGCCCTGTCTCACCAAAATAGACGACCCGCCAGTTGCTTTGTCGCCTGGGGGGAATATGAATGATGACAGTTATACTGCCTTATATCAAATTTAACTGTACTTTTAAGATATGTCTCCTGTAGACATAACGCAGACGGTTTAAAATCCCGTATCAATAATTGAATGTTATTTAAAGTCCACTGCAACTCCACTGGATTAGGTTATTTGTTTGAGTGACGGTGGTTCAATAGGTGACCTCTCACGTGATCGTGAGGAGGAAGGATTTTTACTTCTGTCTTCAGTACTTTGTTCAGGCTGACGTGTAGACTTACTGGCAGGTTGACTGGCAGGTTGACTGGCAGTTTGCTTTGCATGCTCGCTCGTAGGCTGAATATAAGTGAGTGAGTGAGTGAGTTAAAAATTAACGTCGCATCAGCATTATTTCAGCCATATAGCGACGAGACCAAGCTAATATATACACAATTTAGTTATTTATGCAATGTCATATTTTAAAGTTATGAAACATATTGGAGCATACTATATTTAAAAACAATTGACGATGTAGATGTACCTTTAGTGTGACTGATGGATGCCATTTTAAGGGGTTGATCAAAGTGGACCCAAGTAAGATCTGTCTGACATGTTATATAATTTGTTTGAGTGGAACGGGAGACTGCTG